GCCTTTGCATTTTCCTTCTCCTGGAATGTCCTTCTCTCAGATTCTATCTAACATAGAATTCTTTCTCATTCCTTAGATCTTAACACCCTCCCTGACCATTTATCTAAAGTAGTGTTTCCTCTCATAATTATTTCACTCTGTTCTTTTTAATCTTTTTTTCTTTAAAATAAACATATGAAGGGGACCATTCTGAGTTTTCAATTTTTAATCAATGCATAGGTTGGCAATAATTTGTCAACCTAATCATTTAGATAATTTAGATAACGGTGTTTGAATTCATAATGACTAAAAAGGCATTGTAGTTCATTGCAAATAAGATTTTTATTGCATTTTAAAAATGGAAATAGGGCTGGATATGGTTGTTTCATGCCTATTATCCCACAGGCTCAGAGGTTTGAGGCAGGAGGATTGCAAGTTCAAAGCCAGCCTCAGCACTTAGCAAGACCCTGTCTCAAAATAAAAACTATAAAAAATGTTGGCGAGGATGTGGGGAAAAGGGCACACTTGTTCACTGCTGGTGGGACTGCAAAATGGTGAGGCCAATTTGGAAAGCAGTATGGAGATTCCTGGGAAAGCTGGGAATGGATCCACCATTTGACCCAGCTATTGCCCTTCTTGGACTATTCCCTGAGGACCTTAAAAGAGCACACTATACGGATACGGCCACATCAATGATTATAGCAGCATAATTCACAATAGCTAGACTGTGGAACCAACCTAGATGCCCTTCAATAGATGAGTGGATAAAAAATTGTGGCAGCTATACACAATGGAGTATTATGCAGCACTAAGAAACGACAAAATCATAGAATTTGCAGGGAAATGGATGGCATTAGAGCAGATTATGCTAAGTGAAGCTAGCCAAGCCCTAAAAAACAAATGTCAAATGTCTTCTTTGATATAAAGAGAGCCACTAAGAATAGAACAGGAAGGAAGAGCATGAGGAAAAGACTAACAGTAAACTAAGACGAATGGGGGGAGAGAAAGGAAGAGAGAAGGGAAAACATATGGAAATGGTAGGAGACCTTCAGTGATACACAAAATAATAAGAGGTTATGAGGGGCAAGGGGGTGGGGGGAAAAAAGGGGAGAGAATTGAACAACAGCAGAGGAGGTAGAGAGGGATGTTGGGAGGGGAGGGGAGGGGAGGGGGGATAGTAGGGGATAGGAAAGGTAGCAGAATACAACAGTCACTAATATGCCATTATGTAAAAATGTGAGTATGTAACAGAAGTGAGTCTGTATTATGTATTTGGGGAGTTCAAAACCCAATTGAGTCGAATGTATGAAAGATGATATGTCTTGAGCTCTGTAATGTTTTGAACAACCAATAAAAAAAAATGTCTGAGGATATAACCCCTGGTGAAAGAAAGAAAGAAAGAAAGAAAGAAAGAAAGAAAGAAAGAAAGAAAGAAAGAAAGAAAGAAAGAAAGAAAGAAAAAGAAAAAAGTGGAAATAGGGTTGATATTCTCTTTTAAACAGATAGTAATGGAGATAAGCAATTGCTGTCTGATTTATAATTGACACTCATAGTTACTACATACTGTTCATGAGTGATGGAGAAAGAGAGATTGACTTGAGGAATTGGCTCATGTGATTATTGGGGCTTGAAATTTGCAAGATATCTCAGCAAGCTGGAAATTTCAGCAGGAGTTAATGTTGCAGTATTGAATCCAAAGGCAGTCTTGGAGGCAGAATTCCCTCCTATTCCAGGTACCTCTTTTATCTTAAGGCCTTCAACTATAGATGAAGTTCACCCCCATTTCGAGGGTAATTAATCTGCTTTACTCAGTCCTGATTTAAATATCAATCACATCTTAAAAATATCTTCATAGCAACATCTAGATGAGAATTTGACCAAAGACTAGGTATCATACTCTATCCATGTTGACACATCAACTTAACCATCACAGAAGTGCCTATTAGTCTTCAATATTTGTTTTTTAGTTATACAATAGCATATTCTATGCTTCTCTCTTTGCACACTCACTACCTTTATTTCCATGCCCACGAGTTAATCCATACCACTTTCTTCTCCTGCAATCTCATATATACTCTTCTTCTCTTGCCTCAGTCTGGCTGGGCACAAAATCACGAGCCACTCACAGCTTTGTAGATTCAAACAGCAATTCTTTATTCCTGAACTCACACCGGCCCTCTACAAACACGTTCTGAGGAAATTCACGTTCTGGGGAAATCCACGTACTCCACCAGGCTCCGAATCCCAAATACTTTCTGAATCCCAGGAGAACTCAACCGGAACTCAAGGAGCAGGTGTGCCTGAGGCAGCAGGATATGCCCTATTCCCAGCAGGGTACACCTTAAACCTGGAACCGCCCTAAACCCAAGGAGCGGGATACTCCCTAATCCCAGCAGGATTCACCCTAAACCTGGATCCGCCCTGGTCCTTGAGCAAGGTCACTTTACATGCAATGTCACTGCAAATGACCTGAGTCTAAGACAAGCCCATTTCCACAATGGAGAGTCCTTCCTCTAAGCAGCATGGGGTAGGCTGACAAGAAATTGCCATGTGTCATTCCTACTTGGCAATGGCTCTCAGTATTCTCTAAATAAATAACCCAATGCGCTAGGACTGAGAGTTGCCAGACTTTTGAGTAACACACACTGTGAGGACTATTGTTCTCACACACTAATTTTCTCATGTTTGATGATCTGCCTTAGATAATTTATGAGTTTTAGGGCATATATTTTTAAGGTCACTAACATCAAATTTGCTGTAGAGGAATTGGCAACAATTTCCTCATGTCTATCATTCTACTCAGATCAGCTGACAAGAGAAGGCAGGAGCAGAATGCCTAGAGCATGGTGACATCACAGGGCTACACCACAATGGTTCCTATACCACCTGCCCTGCTCTGTGCTTTATTTGGTCACCACATAAGAGACAATAGAAATGCAATGAATTTTAAAGTAATGAATGTTTTAAGTCACACAGTAGAGTTTCTTCCTGAAATGGGCTGAGGAATCTAGTTTCAAATGGGCAAAAAGGCAGAAAAAATAATTTACTTTGGATTACAATGTCAGCTTTTTAAGGGTAAATTAAAAACATTAAAACATAAGAACAGACAGAAAATTAAACATAATATAAAGTGAGTATTAATCAGTTTTAATATCAATTATATGTCTTTTATCTCCCTATGTGTACATGTAGTTTTGTCACTCCATCACTTAAGTTGTGCTTATTCTCTCATAAGGTATTTCATAAATGCATTCATGCTACTTAATACCACAAAAATAAATGTTGGCAGATGACTGTCTTTCATATGTGTATAGGGGACAGTGGCACATGGTCATTCAAAAGGACATAAAGATTTACTCTTTTGTATTATCTTCTGAACCTCTCTTTGGTCCATATTTGGCTGTGTTGGGTGGGCCTTGTCATTGTTGCCCTTTGTTTTGTCCCTGCCCTGTTGATATGGTGTGTGATGTGTCCTTGAGGCTTTGGCACATGCTGCCATCTCTGGCTTCCTTCCCTCTATTAGCTCATAACCCTTAGACCTCATTCTGTTGCAAAGAGATTCACCAAAGCAAATGGAACCCAAAGGTCAAAGCTAAAGTGTGCAAAAAAGAGCTCTAAGTTATTAAATTGGTACACTGACAAGAAAATAATCAGGTCAGATGACAGGCAGAGCTGGCCTGTGTTCTTCCTGGAGGCGAAGCTCTACTGCTCTGTAATGCCATTTTTGTGTTTTATGGAGAGTCCACATTCTTGCCAATTCAGATCTTTAGGAAGTTCTTGACTATTGAAGACGACAAGCCAAAATATAAGGATGATTCCTTAGTTCTTCCTTCCATGACAGTTCTCACTACCCAGGCCAGACAGCTTTATATAACTGGAGTTCATACGTGAGAGGGGTAGTGGTTTCAGCTACTGCTCACAGCCTCATGCACATAGTTCCCCATCATATCTTTACTCAGTGTTGGCTCTTAACTGGAGATGCTTCTTCTACCTTGACTGGCTCAATCTCCTAAAATGAGCTTTCAAACTACAGTCAGTCCTCTGTTACTGTGAGTTCCACGTCTGAGGATTTTACCAACCTTGCATCCAAAATACTCTGGGGGAAAAAAAATTGTGTCTGTACTGAACATATATAGTCTTTTTTTTTTTTTTTGGCTTGTCATTACTCCCTAAGCAATACATGAAAATATAACTATTTAAATGGCATTTACATTGTATTTGGTATTGTAAGTAACATAGAGATGATTTAAAGTATCTAGGAGGCTATACTTAGGTTATTTGAAAATACTTTGCCATTTTATATAAGGGACTTAAGGTTAAGCAGATCAGGGAATATTGAGGGAGAAGTGGTATCCTGGAACCAGTTCTCCAAGAATACTGAGGGATAACCATAATCCATTGATTTTCTTTAGTTAACATTTTTTGAACTTTTAAAAAATCTGTGGTGTTGATATCAGAAATAACATTTTAGAATACCTAAGTTTAACATTTTCCTAAAAATTTGAAGAACTTACTGATGAAATGGCATCTACACCTGTGAATGAATTTTGGAAACATCAAAGCCTTATTTAAATAGCACATACTCTCTATACTATGTATATAAGATGTTAATTATAAGACAACTTTTATGGTTTTGACCCCCCTCTTTTCTTTCCACCCAGTTGCTTCTTTTAATAGCAGACATCTGTTTATGAATTCTCTTCCCTATCTTTTCTTAGTTTTATTCATTATTGGGATGATATATTAACAGTCTAAGCCTCTTAATGGGTATCATTATACATCAACGTAAGGAAAGCTGCAATTGCTCACATGGATTAGTTCTTACCTTTAGAAGTTGATGAATTTGAGAAATTAAGAGCTTCCCCAATGTTAACCCACATTTTTTTCTTTTTTTAAAAAGTTCATAATAAGTACTAATGATAATAATTTGCTATTACTAAGTCTCATTGCAATGCTTGTTTTCTTATTATTAGCTTTCCTTCATTTTTTTTCTAACATTTACTGTGCATACATTTTTGCAGAAGGCTACTGGATACAGAAGATGAGCTCAGTGACATTCAGTCAGACTCAGTCCCATCGGAAGTTCGGGATTGGTTGGCTTCTACTTTTACAAGGAAAATGGGGATGATGAAAAAGAAACATGAGGAAAAACCAAGATTTCGAAGCATTGTGCATGCTGTTCAGGCTGGAATTTTTGTGGAAAGGTAAGCAAAACTATTGTTATCTCAAGAAAATAAAATCTAAAAGGCAGTGAATATGTTCACTGTATCAAAGTTATGAGAGACCTATATTGTATTCGTTGAGGAAAACAGTAACCATGACTTGAATGAACAGGTTAGGAATTTTGTGATAAATTTGCCTGTAACTAAATATTTTTGCCATGAATGTATTATTCTTATTTATACTAAATTGACATGAAGACTGAAAGCAAAGCCCTTTAAATGACCATTCTGAAATGATTTTTTGTGCTTAACTGTTGAAAACTAGTCTAACATATAGCACATTATACAATTGATTTTGTCTGAATAAAATATAATAGCTCATTTTTAAAATTCTGTATTAGGTAACAACCTACTTACCTAAGTCAAGCAGGCCTTTTTCTGCCATAAAAAGAAAAGAACTTCCTCTTCCCATCTTTCCATCATGAGAAGAAAGTTCTCTCGTTTTCACTTTTGAGAAGTTTTTCAACACTCCTGTCACTGAAACGAGGTATTCAGTGGCCCCTACATCATGGAGTCAAATCACCAAAGTTTTCAAGTGAAACACAACATCATGTGACCCAGTTTTACATGCTTTTAACTTTTAAGAGCAAGATTTATTTATTTTTTCTAGGAAACAAGATGTTTCAGAAATAAAACTACAAATAGACCCAAAATAAAAATGTCCAACAAAATTGAAAAGTAGTTATCAAAAATCCCTTAGACTAACACATAAATAAATTATACATACAAAAAGATAATTTAATAGTTGAGAAACTAATGAAGTTGAAGAACAAAGATTTTTTTTGTCAATGTACTTTAAGGGAGAACAAAACATTTTTCTTTTGTTCCTTCTAGATCTCACCTCCAATAAACTTTAACTTTTCTGTGTTAAAGGAACAATGGGAATGACATTTGAATTTTAAAAATGTAAATAAGGGTACATACAAGGAGAATACAGTGCAACTTAACCATGTATCATAACAACAGCTATGAAGCTTCTAATACTTCAGAATGTGAATATCACTCAAAATAGTATCCACTGAGTGATTATTCATTATTTTGCGAATTTTTTAACCATACCTAATTAGCTCAGGTAAAGGATCCCTAAAAATATTCTGAATAGTTTGGTGATATAACAACACCCCCTTCAGTGCATAAACTTATTTCAGTTCTTCCAGGTTGGACCAGAAGTATGAGGCAAATAGGCAGGGATGAGGAAAAAGAATGTCTATAACCATATTCCTGTTTTTTCAAAACAACTTATGCATACATGTGAAGGTTATTGATTTCCCAGAGCACCAAATTTAAAAAATCTAAATAGAATTTCAGGAAGTTAATAAGAGTGTCACAGATAAAAGAATATGTTTAATTTACTAAAGAAATATATTTTGTCTTCTTTGCTTAAGAAAAAATTGCAGAAGTTGGCAAACTGTAAATAAATGCCAACTGTGGATGAAAACCAACTGAATTTGCATTTCTATTCAAGACAAGATTAAGAAAAATTCAGTAAAATATATTGACATGCTAAATTTCCATTGTGTGTACTACTTAAAACAAATTTTATTTTATAGCATATAGAAATATCAAAATGTATATATGAGCTCACTAAATGAATAAGCAGCTTGGAAACTAATGAGGAGAGCATTTAGAAATGATATCTTTTAATCACTGCTGAATCCCCATTAGTAACATGTTTATCTTGAATTTTCAAAAATATTTCTCTTTAATCCTAAAAAATTAGCCTCCTTCTTGAAGTTTTGTTGCTTTCTCCTCTAAGGCTTCCCTGCCAAGATTTAATACCTCAGCAAGTCCTGGTAATTCGTAAGCTAAATGTGTCCTGATTTCACTACTCACTTCCACATCTCTACTCTGGCATCTCCAATCCACGCCTCCATAACCTACGATCAGAAACAGGAAGTAGCTTTCTAACTGGGCTTCCCTCTTCCTCTCTTGGGCTCTCCAAACAACTCATCTCACAGTGATGTTATAAAATAAAAATTATCTCTGTCACTCTTAAGGTAGAAATCTTTGGATGATTTCCTATTTCATTTGGTAATCGGGCCTCACTTAACCAGATACCTTTTTCTTTCTAGCTTCATCTATTGCTGCCCTCATCCTTGTCCGAATATCTCTACCAGCTTTGATTTCAATTCCAAGCACATTCCTAAACTCTTTCCTTCCTTGGAACCATTGTCAATCCTGCTAAAAATGATCCTCCCTGCTATCCTATGGGGCCCATTCTGCCTTTCCAGATTATTCTCTGATCCCTCTGAATTCTGGTCCTCCAGCAATACTCCAACCAGGAATTCACCTCATGGCACCTATTACTGTTTCTAATCATATATTGCTTCTTATTTTTTTGTCTTTCTTTATCACTTATATAAACCTCACAAAAGCAGCAAGAATGTTTCCCTTATTTTCCACTAAATAGTCCACTGTTTAACACAGTGTTTGGCATAAGATAGGGTGTTTTTTTTTAAGGTTTTGAATTATATTTTATAATTATAGTAAAAACTTCCAAAATCAATGCATCATATTTTCAATTGGACTTCACCACCTGGAGGATCCCAGGAAATTCATTATTCTTTTTCAGAAACTTGTGATCCCAGGAAATTCATTATCCTTTTTCAGAAACTTGTGATATATCACCTATCTACCAAAGCACAAGGAAACCAGATTAAGGTTCTTCCCACGCTCATTCTGATTCCAGGAGAAATCATCTTAATTTCCATCTGATTTTCTATTTCTCATTTTCTATCATAGAATTCTATTCCTGATTATAGAATTAGAAATGTATGATGAAGAGGAAGTTTGTCTCTTCAGAAGGACAATCTTTCTTTACGTTCCATGTGGTGATAAAGTACATTGATAAGTCTTTTTTATAGTTCATGTGGTGATGAAGTATATTGATACTCATTTCTCAACCTCCTCCCAGTCTGAGAAACTCACTGGCACCAGAGTTCCCAATGAGCCAGGGAGCTCTGAGTAATGTAAAGGTTGGAACCAGAGGGACTGGCAGCAGATTGATGAGAACAGCTATAGTAATAGTAATACAGGCTTTCTTGTGTGGAGTCTTTATTAGATTATGAAAGGCATTTATACCCTTTACCCCACACAAAAATCCTTTTGCAAATAAATGGCATTAAATAGCATTCCAAAAGTCTTACCACCAGTCAGCAGCTAACTCCTGATTCAAAGCACATGTTCTCTTTGCGGGGATACTCCTTTCCCTGACATGATTTCACATCACTTAATGTCTTAAAATTTCTTATTCCTGATTGGTTTTTCTATTGAACTTTTCCCTGTTAACCACCTTTTCATTTCTCCAGCACCTGTTTTTCAGAAATACTGACTAGAAAAATAAATAGAAAAGACTGTTTCCCACAAAAACAAACAAAACAAACACCCATAACCAAGGTTCCTTATTAGCAGTAATTATTTTCTAGATCTTTTGTGGTGTGGTTTGTACCTTCCTTGCTCTGGAGGATTAGAATAATTATAGCTATCTCAATGGAGTAATTAATATAAATATTTTTATTTTTAAACTGCTTTTGAATCTTCCAATAGATATAATGGGTAAGACTAATTATTATACCCACATCCAAAATAGTTTACAGTTTTTTAAAATAAACGTAAAATTAAAACACAAAAACAAAATAACGAGGTACCTCGTCTGAAATAAAGTGAGAAGATATTTTTATAAGAAAACAATCTAGGCTAAAGAGACAATTAAACAAAAATATTTTCATTCTGAGTTTCCAAGAAGTCAAGATTTAAAAGAAAAAGATGATAAATTACTTGGATTTTTTCATCTTTTAAAAAAGATGATTTATTTATAGAAACTGAGTAACATGTCTTCCAGATTTTTAATATAAAGTTCATTGATTAAAAAGGTTAGTATCTTCCACAGTGGTTTTACAAAAAAATGTATGATGTTTTCCTCAACAACTGTTTCTTAAATCCAGTGTATATGTCACTATATTTAATTGAATTATGGTGGTTGTTCAGGCATTTTTGGGGGAGTGGGGATTTGCAGAGAGCCATGTATCTTTCATGGTCCCAAATGAAAGTCAGTTGCTATTTTGACACATTAGGGTATCTTCTTATTTTGGTGCTGGTAATCGAACCCAGGACCTTGCACACATACATGCTAGGCAAATGCTCTGCCACTGAGCTATATACTTCCAGCTCTGGTTTATGTCATTTTGGTTGCTTATCAGAAAAGGAAAACTCAAACCAATTACTGGTTAATAAAAACATTCTTGTTATTGATAATATTATGGAAATAGAAAGAATTGGGTTGTCTTTCTGAATCATCTTTCTTTAATATTGGATAAAAATTTGAACAAACAAGTAATTTTTGTCAATATAATCTCCTCCAGTGTATCCTTAACAACAACGACAAAAAAATAATCCTTGTGTAAATTTTGATGATGAGACCAGGACAAAGGACAGGTAGCTGATTATCAAAGAAAAGGAAATGGCTAGATAGCACTCCTCATCACCTGGTTGCTAACCATCTTGGGGGGAGAGAAAGGATCACATTTTCCAACATAAGTAACTGTCCCCTGGATGGCTCTCTTCCTGCCCTTTTGATCACCAGGTAGGCATAGGTGGGATGGGAGGAGGCAGCATGAGCAAAAAAGAAACCTAAAATCTATAAAAGGGGCAGGACACCCCCACTCCCTTGGGCACCAGCTCTGGACCCCTTTCTCTCCAGACAAGTTCCCACCCCCACTCATCTATCCTTTAGAAACAACTTGTTTTCTTGCTGCAGTGTTTCTTGGGTATTTAATCTTCAACACCAGGGGATCCGGGACCCAATCCTAATTTCAAGACTAGTTTCAATGATAGATATTTCCCCCCTTGCAATTTCTATATTGTAAGAAAATAAAAGCAAGAATATATAAAGGAAATATTTTCATGACATTCAGCTTCCATTCTAAAAATTTTGGAATATAAATGCACATAAAATAAGAACCTGTGCTGTTGTGAATGTGGCAGTATGTTAGAAAGCGTAGCTGCACATGCAAACAGTTCATCTTTTAATTACATGAAATTCAAGGGAAGCTATCTTTACATGAAAACTAAAATCACATGAACTTTTACAGGGTAGTTGTGAGTAGACAAAATGCTGTTGAGTTCTATTATACTGTAGACAGATAAATGGTGCCTGTAGTTAACACTGTTGCCACAAAGGGAATATGCAACTAATGATAAAAGGTAAGCAAATTAGGAGTAATCATTTCCATTATATTTAAGGAAGAGATGAAAACTTGAAGCAAGTAAATTTTATACATACATTTATTTTTGTCTTTTTTAGGATGTACAGAAAATCCTATCATATGGTTGGTTTGGCATATCCAGCGGCTGTCATAGTAACATTAAAGGTGAAATAATTTCAATTATTTTCATTTATAAAATATTCATTTTAAAAAAGTCTTATTAAGAAAAGAAAAGTAACTTTGTCTTCTAAAAGTTAAATGGCTGAGAGAAAAAAGTTAAAATGGCTGAGAGAAAAAATGAGAGTAGGCCTTTGCTGCAGTCTGCATGTTGGAATGTAGAAATTATTTTAACCATTTACAAAAGGTAATGTGTTCCAGATCATGACTCCTTGGAGACTTACATGAGGAATGATTTGCATTAATGAACTGTATCAGTGCACATATATGCATGCGTATGTGCATATGTGTGTGGTTTTCTTTTCTTCATGTTTTATTTAATTGGATATTGAATTCCATTTTGAGATGGCACTAGTATTTGTCAGAATATACATATTTTTGTTACATATATATATATATGGAAGCCTTAAATACATTACCAAAAAAACCCCAAAAGATGTTTTAGTCAGCTGTGTTTAAAAGATACAGAAGAAAAGTATTTAAAATCTTGGGCCTGAGAAAATGCAAAGTATAAGAGAAAAATTGAGAAAACAAAAAAAAATTCTTTTTTCTTGTATCTGGCTTCTCCTGAGAATACCCTGTTCAGAGGTGTAATTGCGGTATTGTATGTGTTAGAAATAACTAGAGATGACACTCTGAAAGGAGAAGCTGGCGGCTCACTTGTCTGCGTTTCCTGTGTGTGGGCATGCGTGTGCACATTTGTCACAGATGTTATTTCTACAGAGACATTTTGTAGGATCCTCTACTGAATTCTTTATTTCTTTCTGTCTCTTCATTTGGTTGGAGAAAGTAACTTTGTCTTCTAAAACTACTCCATGGTACTGTTAACCAAGAATTTATAGCATAATGGCAGCCAGTAAGACCTTGGACTGCTTCATTTCTCACCTATATACTCCTTTCCTATTTTAAATTTGTATTGCTTATATTTGTATTTTAATTTCCTTGTAAGCATCCTCTTTGTGTTTTCTTCTCTGCTGCATGTTAGATTCAAATCTTATTAATTAAAAAGATATTCACTTTCCTTGGATGTTTTAAAATAGAATTATGTTCCTGAAACTATAATACAAATATATAACTAAAATGCCACAGTAGAGTATACTAATTATTCCTGTGTTCTGAGGAGATCTTGCTTTCCTGTTATTTTTTTCTACCATGTTCAAAGAAATTCCTTATTTTTATTTTATTTCTTTTAAAAAATCTTTGCCTAAAAACCAACTGAAAGTATGTTGGCAGGAGAAGGTATCAGTTTTTCTGAAATGGGAATTTCGTAAAGACATATGCACTAAGAGGTTGAGGGAAGAACTCTCACCAAGTAAAGAATATTTTAGTTAAATAATTTATTATCATAGAAACCTCCTTGTCTTGTTTGTTTTCAATGTGACAGTGCAGGAGGGAAGCATCTGCAATGGTTTACAAATGCAAATCATCATTGTTTATGAAACTCCTCAAGAAACAGAGCTAACTCTTTACGCAGCAGGAATCCCTGGTTGGAACTCTAATAGCTGCCTTGAAAGAGTCTGAGCTAACTCTTCCTTGTTAGCTTTGGAATTTGATAAAAGATTTCTTGGCCTCCTTTGAGCTTTACTGATGGTAAAAATCCTTCTAACAGAAACTTTAGAGATTTTTAATTTACAAAGAGATAAAGCAAGTGTTTGGGGATCAAACTAGAGCCAAATGGAAGATAAATAACAATGGCAGACAAGAAAACCAAAAGGTATTTCATGGGTGTTTGGTTCCAGGAGATTGAAAGTACCATTTGAGGCTGTTACTGTTATGTTTTCAAAGGAGACCTTTTTTAAAAAGACGGGTGAAATACTTCTTATCAGATTTTCAGTTTAGTTTAAGCATGTTACAGCACCTACAGTTGGCTTCCTTAAAGAATGTTAAAACGTTAAATCTATGAAATTCTAAAAAATGCCTACTCAAATGCAAAAATTAATGCATAGCTTAAAGGTTGCCCATTTTTTGTTCAGTACCAAATCAACTGCGTATGTGTATATAAACACTGTCCTTTGCTAACAGTTCCAGATCATCTTTTGAACTGAATTTTGTGCTTTAGTTTTTGTTTGTGTATTGGTTTTTAGAAAAATATGAGGTAGCTAAAGTGGTTGATTCTTCCCCCACCCCCCACTGTCACTGTATTTTTCCCAGTGCACCTGCTTCCCTACAAGCTTGCCTGTTTCCCTACAAATTGCAAGAAATAACACCAATTACTATTCTCCTCCTCAATTAGAGGGCCCACTTCCTTTTCTTACCATCAGTCCCTGGAGAAAAGTATAACTGGGTCAGCTTAAGTCAGAAGGAGTAATAACGAGGTAGTGTACTGTCTACCTCCTGTGGTATTTGTATCCTGCAAGAGGAGAGAAGGTATCAAAGCTTCCAGCCTAATTACTGTTACAGGGTGGAGTCCTTCCATGAAACTGAGGCAGCGCAAATTACCATCTTTAAGCCCCATTTCTTGTGATCAAGTCAAAAAGATTTCAGACGTATTGCTCGGAGTAACCGGCATGAGTTTATTAGAAGGGCTGGAAAAGAGGAAGGGGACATTCTCATGGGAGAGAGTGGGTCCTCTCCCAGATAAGAGTAACTGTGTGCCTATCCTGCACTCTAGTTTTATTGGGGATCCCAGAGAAGTTTCCAGAGAGTCATGCCCAGGTTCACCTCTTGAAATTTGACTGACCACAGGATGTCATCAGACCTTTAAGTCCCCACCACTATAAAAACTCTAGGTCACTTTGGCCCATGTTGACCAGATTCTAATTGGATTCTTAAGCACAAAATCTTCCAGATTTTATGGCTATGAGGAATTATCTTTATCTCCCTGAATTCTAGGATCTGGTGTGTGAAAAGGTCACAAAAGTAAGAGTAACTTAAATTCTTCTTATCAACATTATTTATTATCTCAGGATTGCATCTCTTCTGTAGGTAACAGGTAGTTTGCTGAGGAATGTGACATATCTTGTCTTCTTAAGCCAGGCAGAGCTGTACATAAATTGCTTATTGGAAAAGAAAGCATGTGGGGTGAGCACAGTGGACCCATTTTATAGAATTATTCCCTCTACCATTCACATCTGTCTGTCCCCTATCATTACTAACTATAACGCTGAAATTCCAAGCAAAGCAGCAGGTGGGTAGGAAAGGGAAAAAATTGGGTCTATATTCCCTATATTCTTCAATTGGCATCACCCATATCACTAGCAATTCTACTTCAGGACCGGAACCAATCTGGGAAGATGTTTTATGGCAGGCATTTTGGCCTCACATTTTGTGACCCTGTGATATCATACTCTGGTAAAATGCAGTTTGACATGCTGAATTGAAATATGACCTGCTGCCTAATCTCTCAAATAATTTCCCATGCAAAACCACAAAACTATATGATACTGTCACCTAACATATTTACTCTTATTTTTTTATAGGATGTCGATAAATGGTCTTTTGATGTCTTTGCCCTAAATGAAGCAAGCGGAGAGCATAGCCTGAAGTTTATGATCTATGAACTGTTTACCAGATACGATCTTCTCAACCGCTTCAAGGTCAGAAGTGTGGAAGGAAAGTGAAATACCTTTAGAATCAGCTATTTGAATAATCATGAAAATGTAGAACACTGATTAATTAATTCACTTTAGAATGTTTCTAGTTAACAGGTACGGATCTAAGGTTGAATTCACCACATGATGAAACCATTCTCTGGCTCACCAACATATCTATCTATCTATCTGGGGACCATGAGGCCAGGACTGCCTCTTTCCAACAAGATTCCTTGCTCCACTGACCACTCACAGAACACTCATATGTGGATTAGAAGTTACATCTTAAAGAACTAAGACCGATCTTCAGTGTTCCTAAAACATAGTAATCCTCTATTATTAGCTTTTCTTACACTGAAATGATGGGCCCTCTAATCCACTTCATTTGGAGCCATCTAAGCAACAGATTAGAGTTAGGACTTCTGAGCAGTCTGCTGCTGGTGTTAACTTTCCTGTAGAAGCATGGCATTGTTGGAGATAGAAAGTGCTGGGAAATTGTCTATTTTAATGCCTTTGTATTATAGATTGGAAAACTAGGCCTTACAGATTATAATTGAAAATATTTTCCCTTTTTACAAACCAATTGTTTTCCTTGACTCAGGAAAATATAAAAATGTAAACATTATATAGTGTGGGTTAGACCATTTTTTCATCCATCTGCTTTAAGTACTTGGGGGTTACAATACTTCTCAGGATTGAAAACTAACATGTTAACTATGTGTGGTTTTTTTTTTTTTAATAATAATCCAGATTCAACTTAAAGAAATTACTGCCCACATCTGACTCACTGTGTTTATCCCAAACTCTGTGCTCAAGTTGATATAGTGCCACTCTTGAGGCTAAAATATAACCATATTTATCACTTTCCACAGATTCCTGTTTCTTGCCTAATTGCTTTTGCAGAAGCTTTAGAAGTTGGTTACAGCAAATACAAAAATCCTTATCACAATTTGGTACATGCAGCTGATGTCACTCAAACTGTGCATTACATAATGCTTCATACAGGTATCATGGTAAGAATGCTTTTATAATAATTTTGTTAGTTTGGAGACATTATTTTCCATGACTGAGAATTTCTCTTGTTTCTTTAATTCCATAGAAGTTTTATTAGGAGTAATAATCTTTTAGAATTTTGAGGTTGAGTTATTTTTCAAAAAATATTTTAACTCAATGAAAACAAGACATCTAGAGGAAAATAAAAATATAATGACTTTCCAAAATTTAGACTAGAGAACATTTTTGTGAGAACATCTTCAGAGTAAAAGAGAACTTTTCCCACATTGTCTCATTTTCTCAGAAACTAACATTTGGAGTTTTTTTCTGTTACATTGCTAATCACAGTCAAATATGCAGAAGGATTTGGGGAAATTATTCATGTAAATTTTTCCAAATGCCCTTTCTTCTTTGCATTTTGATGAATCAATGGGATAAGTGAAGAAATGATTCAGCAATGCAAAACCTAGGATATCAATGAGTGTAAGTCAGGAAGTCTGATACTGCTTAGAATTTCTGTAATGTCTTAGAGTTGAAGATGACTCCCAGAAAGTGAAAAGTGAGAAATAGGACTTCTGAAGGTGCCAAATTGAGATGAATTCAACAGGATGTGGGTCATGTGAGTATAGTGGGGATTTAGAGATGCTGCTTTTGCTAAAAACACTGACTCTTCATTTGAGCCTGCTGATGCCCAGTGGGTCACTAAAAGCAGGATAAAACTTGGCATCTCTGCCTTTGTTATTACCTTAAATCTTGGTTCATATCCCTGCTTATTCTACACATAGGCATGTTAATTATTTAAGGAATACAATACAGGGTTTATTAGCCCTAAACTTACCTAATGTACCTTATGCTCCTTCAAGACTGAAGACATCAAAATAAGATAACTTGGATATTTTCAAGATTTTCAAGGACATTCAACTGCTTGGAGTGCTTCCTAGAAGTCTCTAGTCATTGCCCTAAATCTGTAGTCTCTTAGACTCTAGAAACAGCAAAACATCACAGATCACCCCACGATCAGATTGCCCCACTAAGTGGGATCAATTGCCCTATTATAGGAATTGAGGCTACCCCACTAAAGTAGGAACAATTATCTCATGGAAACCAGATTGCCCCTTAAAAGAATAAAGCCTTCTCCACAGCAACCGCACAGAACTAATCTTGAGATAATGATCAATCAGACCATGGCCTGAACAGGATGATATACTCTGTCAGTTTTACAAAGCCTCAGCCATACAAGCTCCCCCCACTCCCTAGCTTTGTTCCCCTTTCCTGTGAACTTCAAAGTTTCTTTCAGACCCTGGAACAGATATTTGATCATTGTATCTGTACTTCCCATTGTGGCATGCTGATTAGAATGTTTTTCCTGTCCTTTACCTTTATCATCTGATTGGCATATTAGGATGAGTGACTGAGCTTAGTCTCATATTGGTATTACCAGAGCTGGGGCCTTCCCCCAAGGACTCTGTTAACATGAGGACACCAATCAATGTCTTCTTGATTTCTCATGAGCCAATACAGGCTAAGATGGTACCATAAAATTCCCACAAATAAATTATTTTACCAAATCCCATAATATGCATTACCTGTCTGTTTAGAAATCAGAAGCTAAACTATTTATATTATCAGCAACAGTAATTAGTATTTGGTTCTATGAGACTTGGGCTTTTGGGGGCCCAGAGAACCTCAATAACCTCATCACTCTGTATCATAGACTATATCCTAATTTGATCTCAAGCAAATTCTCTGGGGCTTTAGCAGAGACTCCTAAAGAGCTTGAAAACTTATAACTTGTGCAGGATTCTCTAAGCTTTAGCATATGCAGAAAATTTACATCATTATGGCATTCCCCTGTCCCAAGAAACCAGCTATGATGTTTACTACACATAACAATCTATTTACTAGGATTCCTCCACAGTGTCTTATATGGTAATCAAAGAAATTGTTCCTCATTTTCTTTGCCTCTTAAATGGTGTAGATCCTTTAATGTCTTGGGCTGAGATCCCACTCCTGCCCCATGTTCCAATATATCTACTGCTAAAAACAAGCAAAAAACCACCAATAACAGAAAAACCACTCCAAATCATGATTTAAAAAATAATTTGTTATTGTCTCTTAAAGCTCTGTGGTTAAAAGATTTCCAACTAGGAGACTCTCACTGGGTGTCCTTCATGTGATTATGGCCAGCTAGCAACTGTGGCTAGAGACATCTGAAACCAACACTGGGCATGGCATCCAGGATGGCTCAGTTACAGGACGGGTAGTTTGTATGGCTATTGGCTGGGAGCTCAGCTGAGAATTAAAGGAATTTTTTGGAATTTTACCACAATTTCATTCAAATTTATATTCTGTAACAAATTTATCTTTTTAAAAGTAGTATATTTGAATTGCTTTATGTTTCTCTTTCTAGTGTGCATGCATGTGCATGCTAGAAATTCTTTTAAAACTTTTTGGCTTTGAAAAAGTTAACTGAAAACGACTCATTAAATGTCACTCGAAAATGTAAAATGAACTGATTGGATTTCCTCAGAACAAGATGGACTGAGAAAACAATGTCTACATCAGTAAATAAACTGTACACTTAATTATAAAGTGAAATTAGAAAATGCATGCCATTTAGGGCTGGGAGGTAACTAGAATTTCATCATCTTAAAATATGTTTCTTCCCAAGAACATTTTGTTTTGTTTTGCTTGCCACAAGTGTGAAGGGAGCTAAATGAAAGTCTAATTTAACTTTAGAATCTCTGGTCTGAAAGTGACATTGGAAAGACAGGAGGAAGAGATGTCATATTAATGGGTAAATAAAGAAATTTAAGTCCACAATGTGACTTCACCCTCAGATTTACAAGGAAGACTTGCTGCAGGACATAATAAGCCATTCCATCTTCTCTGGAAGGCTGAGGAATCCGGCCCAGTCCTGGCATCACGCCGAGAGAGCTGCAGTCATTAGTATAGATCATGTAGTCCCTTTCTGAGAAGGCCTCAGCTTATCAAACAGAAATGTAACTTCCCCTGCTTTAGCAGGATTAGCATAGAAACCTGTTCCTAATTTTATTCATCCTTTAGCAAAAAAGGATCAGTGGGCTTTTTACATGCCCATCAGTCTGCCCATTGCAGAAATAGTCTGCTGGTAGACCTTTAGTGTTTCCCGGGATCAGGAAAGTGCATTTAAACTACAAAGAATGATGAGAAATTTCACAATAGGTGGTGAAAGGGAAGGCAGAATGAATTCACAAATGTGTTGACTATTGTGTCAAAACCAGGTTTCACTGCCAGCTTGACAGTTTTGGGAAAGTTATTCTAGCAAGCTTTTCTCTAGATGAAAAGATGGTAGGTAGTCAGTGAATATTAATTTTCTTACATGTGAACATGTTCGTTATTTGAAATGACAAAGCATTTCAGAAATATTCTTTTAACTAAAACTCTTCAGTCATTTCTCACCACCTGGATTTGCTGAGGAGAAGACTGGGTCACTCTAGTGTTTTAGTTGATGTCCTACTATTTCAGGACAGCCCTATCAGTGTAGCTTATATGGAGCACTCCAGTAACAGCCTGACACTGTCAGTTGACTAATGCATATTGTCATCTGCAAGGTATTCCAAGGACTGAAGAATGTTGCCTGGAAAGGATTATGAGGAAGCCATTGTCTTCCTGGTTTGTTAAAAGGATAAGGACACCCTGGAGCCTAAGAGCTGACAGTATAGGGGAAGCTTGACATTAGTACAACCACTTTCCTCCTTTTCTCTCCTTTTGTCATATGAATAACTTGTAGCCCTGAGCCACAGTGACAGTGATGTGCAAAAACACAATCCATTTGCTAAAGAGCTAATGGTTTATGGAGTGCTGCCAAGCTACCTCTAGCTGTCTCTTTAAATATGAAATCATCCAAGGACCTTGGCCAGGGAACACTTGCATTTGAAGGCTCTTGGCACTTTGCTCTAATACTCAGAAGAAAGAGAGATGACTTGAAATCTATTTCTTTTAGAACGTGTATTTCATTGATTATGCCCCAAAGCAGTCTCCCACACTTTGGAATGACTCAATTTTTCTCTGATCAGTCTACAGAAAATGTGGTGCTATGTCCCTACTGTGCAAAGTTTGTAGAAATTCTCTCCTTCTACGTGGCTTCCCATATAACAGTTTGGTAGAGTGGAAAGGGTGTGGGCTTGGGAGGCAGCCAGACAGATTTGAAAGCATGCTCTGCCACTTCCTAACCGGCTAGCTCTCTACTTGGTTCCCTTATCACTAAAATGTAGTTTAAGATACTGATCACCATATAGGAAGAGTCACTACATCTTATTTGTAAAGCACTTAACCTAGAGTCAGAAAGAAATAGCTATCAACACATACCCTTATATTATTATTTTAATATACTAGTTTGCTGGTAAATGACAATTAACTACCTTAGGCTAGTCAAAGGGATAGGAAAAAAGGTGTCTATCCCCATAACTTCAGGCCAAAAGAATTGCTATTTTTTCTTTTAAGACATAGTAGAAACTAGGAAATCAATGTGATCCTCTGATCTGAAATTCTCCCCACCCTGTTTAAACCTATATAACACAGGGATACTGTTCTATCACACACATACAAAGTAATTCAGATAGGAAAATTATAAGTCTTAAAGCCTAATTAGCTTTTGCCCATTAATGTATTGTTAAATTAGTTAAAAAATCTGCTTTTGAAACCTCAAAAGCATGTGTTCAGTATGCTGCCTCCTTCAGGAGTGCCTGCTATTGTGATTGACAGAAGGAGCAGAAACACTGGAGTCAATGTTAGTTTGAACTTCTGTTCTTTCACTAAATGTCTACGTGAGCTTTGGCTGCATGGATATCGATCCAGTTCCTTAGGATTCAGTTTTGTGGAGTTCAATGTAAGGATAAAAATATTTACCTAGCAAATGATAAATAGGAGGTTTACAAGAATTAAATTATAGCATCTTAAGTATCTGTTAAGTTGGTTCCCACCTTTTCTGTCATCATTACTTACACACCTAGTGACAGTCAGTTCCTCCTTGTGATATAATTTGAGGATATAGGATTAGTCTATCTGAGCATTTCTCCAGCAAAATGCAACCTTGACACTGTAATAGGACAATGTCTCTCTCTATTACTCAAGGCTCATCATTTTGACCCCTTGTTTCTGTCCACTAGGAACCAAAAGAACCTGGGTTTCATACAGACCACTGTTCTAGATGGGAAGAGTGGTATGATTCACGCTTTCTAGACTGTGAATTATTTACAAAAATCTATGAATCTAACCATCTATTTTTTGAGTTACAATGTCATCGGACATCAGCATAAAATAAATGAACAGCTAAGGAGTTAATAATCAGTCCAAAATTCTACTTTTACTGAAACCTAAAAGATGTGATTCTCAATTAAGTGTGAAAGTTCAATGTTTATCTTCTTCCAAATTATTTTACACTATAAACTTAATTATCAAGGTCACAGTATATCAGTAAATAAATGGATTCAGGGAGGATGTTCTATTTTTGGAAGGCAGCAATTAATTAGAAAAAAACAGGAAATACATTTATAATCAATTTTGACAGCTAGAAAGATAATAATTTTAAATACCTATGAGATAATCTATAATTAAATTCCATCTCTGATTATCTAATTTCTTTACTTTTGCAACTTCACATTCAATATTATCTTAGTGAATAGTGGATGTTGCTTTCTTTTAAACCACAGTTTAATCTATAAATTCATAAATGTAACTAGGAAGACACACTTTAAGAAAATAGGTATTTTTTTTCCAGGAAACAATTTTCTTTAATAAAACAATAGGTTTTGGGGGTATAAAATCTGGTTTAATTCAATTTCTATTCATTTCATGGTGTTTAGTTCCACAGTCTCAATGGGAATATTGGAGGCTCAATCCCAGTTCAGCCTATAACACAGGCCATTAATAAGGTCACTTTCTTCCTCTTAATGACACAATTAAATGCATCTATAAACACAGAACAGTTAGTTATAAAAACTCCCTTTGGTTAAGAAAATCATTTCTGCTTCAGTCATCCAACTGTGAGGCATTTATACTTGAATTGCAATCAGTTAAGATATGTTAGCTGTTATTTTCTAGATTTAATGCCTTAAACAATTTACTTAAAGTAACAAGTTTTGTAAAATGTCATCTATTCTGTATTTTACTACATGGCAAGGCTCATGATAGGCACACTGCATACATTAACTCTAAACTTCCCTCAAAAACCTCACAGAAAAATGATCACTAATCCCATTTTAATGGGAACTGTAGCTGAGAGGGTAAATAACTTATTTTCCTGAGGATCAACAGAAATTTGAAACCAGAATTGTCTGAATGCATAGTCTTTTTCTGCTACTCTTGACTACCTTATTCTTATGCAAGACTAGTGACATTCTGTTTGACAAGCTGATATTGAGTTCCTGTTATGTACCAAATGCCATGAGAGGTCCTGTAAAGGAAAAAAAAGATTAGTAAGACCATGCCTTTGCCAACTCTTAAAACAGTTGTCACTTGGTTCATTTTTGACTCATGACCTTCAACATCTGCCTCTTGCCTTTTATACAAAATCCAAATCCATCAGTTCTAATAGAGGAGGCCATCCATTTTTTTCATAATTTCTATCCTCTTTTCCACCTCACTTTTTAATTGATTCTTAAGCACAATTTTACCATCGGTAATTGTACTTTAATACAGGGCTCTAAAGTATCATTCTACATTTGTGCTTTCCACGTAAAATCCCCCTTCCCCCAACCCTGCACTTAACTACCAACCTTTGTCCATCTTCTTCCCAAATCCTCCATTCCTGCCATCAAGTATCATCTACTTGCAGCACTAATACAACTTTCTGTGACAGTGGAAATACTTTGTACCTATGATGTTCTATTTGAAGGCAACCAACCGTCACATATGAGCAGTGAGCATGTGAAATGTGCCTACTACAACTAGGAGAATGAATTTAATTTTACTGTCTTTCATTTATTTTTAATTAAATTGTCACATGTGATTACCATGTTGGAAAGTAGAGTAAAAGTACTATGCAGAATGGGAATGAGGAATAAACTAATTGTTGCTAAATAAACTTTAATAGTACAGAAACTTTGTTTGGCTTTCCAGTCTGTAACAGAAAGATCAATCCTGGATTTTAAGTGAGAGCAATTTTATTTCCTTTATTGCTATTAAGTTTTATTACCCAGTCATGTATGCGTTATGTATAGAAAATTTGGTAAATTCTTATAAACTCTTCTAAATCTTTAAATATACAAATGAAGTTCAGTTTCTCTCATGAGCAAAGTAAATATCTTCAGCTTTTAGATGGACCTTTTTATTATAATGGAGTCTTTTAAAATAAACTTTAATTATGTATAAACTATATGGTAAAAATCACTAGTCTGATGGTGGTCTCTGAGGGCTCTTTTATAAACATACTAATTCTAATCATGAGGGCTTTATTCCTTTGACCTAAATTAGCTCTCAAAATCCCTACCGCCTACTAACATCTCACTGGGGGTTAGAATTTCAACATATGATTTTGGGATCAGTACACAAACATTTAGGGCATAATGTAGAATTAAGAGAGAAATACAATATTTCTTTTATCCTGGTCTTTATACTTTCTTTCCTAACCAGATGTCCTTTAATCTTGTTAACTAGCTGCCTGGTTCCCTGAATATCACTTGAACTTTGTTATCTGCTGTTTAGATCTTGCTGAAGCAAAGCTTGCTAGTTGTTGGCTTCATGTGTAAGTCTAGAAACATTGCTTCATGCTCCTCTAGTTTTGACTGTATTCACACCTCCATTGTTCTTACGTGGCCATTCCAGTTTAATTAGTGGCCATAACCTTGGGTAGCAATATTTGAAATATGGCATCTCAGATGCCAGATGGTGTCTACTCAGGATCCTGTTTGTGCTTGTCAGCTCTATGAAGACTTTTGTTATAGAAGATAATGCTAGTACATGCACCTTTGTGGGCATTTTCTCTAGTGGTAAACAACGAAAAATCTGTTCCTCATATTTTTGTTTTATTTGTTTATTTGTTTGTTTTTAGTTAATGATTCCCAACTGGAATTAAAGGTATATTTGAAAAAAAAATCACTAGTCTGTAATTGATTTCATAAATACCTAAACTGGTAAAGCTGTGAAATCAAAGTCCAGTCAGTCTTTTAAATCATAGAATACTATTTTTTTCCAGTTAGCAAAGACAATTATATTTTGAATTTTAAGGTTTGAACTTATAAGCCATGAAACAATCATTGATCTCATGAAGGGTTCATTATACATACACAGTAAATGGAGGAAAAATAGAAGAACAATTCATTTAAAAGAAATGTAATATAATTTTATATGATTCATGTACTGTATGCACTGATAATTTTTTTCACACAACGAAAAGATGGCTTCTTCTTTATAATTATGATGAAACTTTTCTTTAACTTACTAGCACTGGCTCACTGAACTGGAAATTTTAGCGATGGTTTTTGCTGCTGCCATTCATGATTACGAGCATACAGGGACCACAAACAACTTTCATATTCAGACAAGGTAAGTTTGATAAAGTATTAACTTTTATAAGTTAAAATTTAAAATTCACTTTCTGCATATTATTGATTTTTAAAAGAATTTGTTAAAAATAAAGATTCTAAAAAGAATAGGTATAATGGAGTTTTACCAAAATTTCTTAAGCTATGGCCATTAAAATAAAACAACTACTATTGTTCAAGAATCTCATGTATGTTTTATGACATATTTAACAACTTAAAATATGTAAGAAAATTTCTCTCTTCCCAAAACTTATACTATAAACTGTTATACGTCTATTCACTGAGACAAAATCTGTGACATATTGTTTAAGGTATTGGTTTGGTGTAATTATGTACTTGAAAGTAGTAATTTGCACTTCTGAAAACATTCAGAGAAAAAAGAAATTCCTTTTCCAGGCCAGTGTTGAGTCTACATATAAAATAATTGAAAAATTAAATTATTTAATAATAGTTACAATTGATGTTATTTGAATCAAAATACTAGAGATGAGTATTGGTGTGCTAGAGTTGCCATGACAAAATATGACAGACTGGATGGTTTAAACAATGTGGTTTATTTCCTCACAGTTTTAGAGGCTGGGAGTCCAAGGACAAATGTCAACAGGTTTAGTTTCTTCTAAGTCCTATCTTTCAAAGGAAACAGAGGACTTGCAGACACCTACCTTCTTGCTGTGTCCTCATCTGATCTTTTTTTAATTAAAAGTATTCCTTGGTATCTCTTTCTTTTCTCATAAGGATATTAGTCATATTTTATTTTGTTAGCACCTTTATATTACCTACTCCTTTTAACTTGAATTACATCCTTGAAGGCTCAATCTCCAAATATAGTCCCATCCAGGTTTAGGACTTTAACATTCAAATGTAGAGGAAGACACAATTCAGTCTATAAGAAGAGATACCCTAAGCTCTTTTAAGTTAGGCACCTTAGTGCCTACATGTTAGAAAGTAGTCCAGGACCCATCAGGACCAATTCACTTTATATATGTGGTATTCTGATTCTTCCCAAATCTTCCACTAGTCAAAGATGCCTAACAAGGAAGTGTAAGCTAAGAAACTGGTAAGTCTCTAGAGCCATCATAGAACTATGTTCTCATCAAGGGAAAACTAAATAAGGTTACTTTTTGTTTATTTGTTTCATTTAATGACTTTATATCTTAGAGAAGTTATGGGTTTATAGAAAAATTCAGCAGAAAGCAGAGTTCCCATATACTCCCCTACAGCTTCCCCCTGTTATTAACATAGGGCATCAGTGTGGTACATTTGTCACAATTGATGAACTGATATTGATACATTAGTATTACCTAAAGTCCATAGTTTGATTGGGGTTCTGATTTCCTTTTTACAGATTCTATGAGTTTTGAAAAATATGTAACGCCATGTGGCTACCTTTGTAGTATCCTACTGGTTTCACTGCCCTAAAAGTCCCCTGTGCTTCAGTATTCATTCCTCCTTTGCTCACTTTTTGTCTCTGAAAGCCACTGATCTTTATAATGTTGTATTCGTTTTCTAGATAGTTTTCTGTACAATATCTCTTTTTCCAATGTGTCATGTAGTTGAGGTTTCTTTCATTTAACAATATATGTTGAAGGTTCCTTCGTGTTGTCTAATGGCTTTATGACCCATTGTTTTCATCATTGAGTAATATTCCATTGTATGGATGTATCACAGTTTATCTATTCATCTATTGAAATAAATCTTGGTTATTTCCAAATTCTGAACCTCAGAATAAAGCTGCTTTAAGCATATATGTGCAAGTTTTTATGTGGTTGGTTCATTTGGGGTTTTAACAGAAATATTTTTAGCAACTGATTTTCTGGATATGAAGTGTTATTGTTTTGATGTGGAGAATATATATAGAAATAGCTCATTAAGATATTAGACATTTTAGAATTTAAAAGTACCTAAGGTGATTGAGATTCATGTTTTAGATCACCTAGTCTAAGCCTCACAATATAAGAAGAAAAGTCAAAGATTTCTAGTGGTACAGTATCCTATCCAAATGCACCCAGTCAGGGGACAACAGTGCCAGGATATGAAGCTGAGAAGAGTGACACACTCTCAATCCAGTTACGGACACAATCTTCTCTCACAGCCAGAGAAAGATACATGGTAGATCTAATCTTTTATAGCCTGTAATGAGAGGTGTTTATAATTTCACGGCCTATGGATGGAGACAGAGAAAGGACTGAAATTCAAACAGGGAAGTGTTGGGGAAGGCATTCTGTCCCACTCCTGGAATAAAGAAAATCCAAATTCCCCAGAATGACATAGAATGAAAGGAAAAGGAAAACCTTGGAGTCTGGTTGTACAGTAGGAAAGTTACTGATCTACGTGTATTTGCAAAGTATAGAGTTAAGCATCAAAGAGAGAGAAGACTATATATATTGTTTTTGCTTATCCAAGTCTCTACATTCATGGAATCCTTAACAAGGAGAATTTCAAGTAAAGTAGATAGGTCATTACTGAGCTTAGCTCTATATAGGACAATGGTTTTTAGGGTCTGGAGAAAGGATCAAGTGATTGTTACCAATGAGTACTTCTTGTCTTCTGTTTTGAAAAGTGAAGGCAATGGACTGGCTTTTCGTACCCACAGTGCTAGGACACCCCAACTGGATGAAAAGTCCTAATTATCTCCTGCTTTGGACTGTGGAGGAAAAGAAAGGGGAGGAAAAGGAGGATGGAGGAAGATGAAGACAAGGAGGGGCAAGAGGGGGAAGGGAGGAAGAAGAATCAATCTTCTCCAATTTTATATTAAGAAACTGCATAAAATGGGGAGAGCCTTATATTTTACTTATTTTTTAAATAAATTGTCTAACAGGGCCAATTATTTAATAGATTAATTCTATATGTACTTGAAATTTTCATAAGCAAAAAATGTTGTAATGAACAAAATGCAGCAATATAATGTGCTTTTTCACTATTGCTATTGCCTTCACACTTTGTCAAAGCATGTATAAGGTCATATGTCACTCTTAGCAATAATTCTATTATATTTTGTATTATTCATTTTGCTTGGATTTAGAATGTTTTCCTAATATTGAAGTTCATTTACCATATAAGACAAGATAACTGAAAAGTAATTTAAAGCATCAAGCCAGGTGAGATTTGAATTCAATACAGATGGTATAATGCATGAAATCCTTGAAAGTGTAAATAAATGGAAATAATTTCCTCTTCATGAACAGAAAATGTGGAGCTACATGTTACCATGGATACTGAATGTTGCTTATAGTCTTGTTCTTTTCTTAGCAGCTAAAGACCATATCAAATATTAAGACCATGTTGTATTCTCAGCATTCTTGTTGAATTTATGAGACAAAATCTTGCACACTTTTTACAATTAAATCTGGTTCAAAAAAAGTATCTTTCCTTATTTCTGAATGGGATAGACATGTGATGCTTTGAGCCATATTAAACCATAACCCTGACAAGGCTGGTATAGGTGCATTTGGGTCCATGAGACACAAATGAAATAATTGGAAAATCATTTTTTCCTATGATCTCAGGCAATACTCATGGTATTTTACTGGAAATGCCCATGGTATTTTACTCAGTCAAGATCTACTTAATGATCTCTTCAACCAGGTTACATATATGCTTTCCTAGTCACTTGCTCTTTATTGTTTTGATTATCAGTAAGGGATTTTTCAGCCTTAACTAAGATTACTAAAAGAAGTCTATGTTGAAGATATGTACTATAAGCTCAATATATATATGTGGCATCACCTTTATTATAGTGTTAGAAACAGAAAGAGAAATCATTCTATTGCCTGAGAGGACGCTTCTTTTATGTGGGATTAGTAATGAAGCTTTGTTTATATGGAAGACTGTTAGACACAGATCTTGAATAGATTGTTAGCAGCACATACTGAATTTATGTAGTTCTTTATTCTTTAAAAAATAAATATTATTGTGTATATATAAGATATACAGCAATATTTATGTAATACATATGGATAGTGAAATAGTCACTATTATGAAGTAACTTAACATACATATCACCTTGCATAGCAACCCACCTTTTTGTTTTATTTTGCTGGTAATTTTAGATATTTTTTGATTTTGTCTTTTTAGGACAGTGGCAGGGGAAAGGTTAGACTATAACTAGGACTCCACCCACCAAAAAAAGCCTGAAATGGTCTGTCTTGAGTAAGGCATTTTTCACTGGACAACAAGTGTTTCAAGCAGAAAGGAGAAGCATGCAAGGGACTGTGTGTTAGGGGAAATGGAAGCAAAGTTGCTATAGGGCTTAACTTGATTTTCTTCAAATATTTTTGCTGTCTATTTCCACTGTGTCAACTTAAATGAATGAGTTATCATTTTAAAATACTGAACATAGTGATTCTGTGTGCATTGCATACCTGTAGGTGATGTAGCAATCTAGGAGGGCAGAGGATGGAGAACCAAAGGCTACATTATATAGAACCTTGGAATATTTTATGCTTTATGCTAGAACAACCAATTGATTAGTGTAACTTAAAGTAGTTTATTTGATGATCAAGTTACATGGAAATATAGGCAGGCAAAAAAATTAAAAACTTTCCTTGATGAATTCATCATTTTGAAAATAATATGTTTCTATTATGAATTGGTGGAGAAATATACACTTCAAGTTTTGATGAAAAATGATTTTTCTTCTTAATTCAAAGTAAAAGAATCCATAATATTCAGATTTAATCACAACATAGTAAGGGAGAAAAAACTAGATTCACAAATAGACCAAATGATTTTCACACAGATCACCACTACCTACCCAAAGTACTTTTAGTTCAAAGAAATGAGGGTGATAATCATTCAGATACAAAGGACTTAACCACTCTCTGACTGAGAATGTGAGGTAATTTTTTTCTTGTGGCAGATTTAGATTATCTCATAGGTTATTGGATTACAAATTTAAAGGTAAAAGGTATAAATTTATTTAAACTATGGTAATTAAAAAGAAAATAAGAAACATGACCAAATGGGAATTAATCCAAGGTACTCAAGCCTGTCAATACTGAAAATTCAATTAATGTTTTCATTATATCAAGAACCAAAAAAGAAAAATCACATGATCACTTCAATAGATTCAGGAAAAGTATTTTTGACAAAATCCAACACTCATTTATGATTAAAACTCAGTAAACTAGGAATAGAGGGAAATTTCCTCAACTTGATAAAGAATATTTCCTAAAGTGGTTACCAAGGGATGAGTTGACCAGTTACGTAGATGTTGTTAAAGGATATAAAATTTAGTCAGAGAGGAGGAATATGCTCAAATGGTCTATTTTACATATTTACATATTTACTTAGTTATTGTGGTGCTAGAGATTGAACCCAGGGCCTGTGCATGCTAAGCAAGTGCTTTACCACGGAGCTACATCACCAGCCCCTCCAGAGATCTACTGTATAATGCATAACATTACATTTATAGTTCATAACAATATATTGTATTCTTGGAAATTTCTAAGAGAGTAGATTTAGATTTTAAATATTTTCACCACAAAATTATATTTAAGATAATGTAGAATGGTAATTAATTCAATTCACCCATTCCACAATGTATACTGACTTCAAAACATGATGTTCTAAATTATAAACATATACAATTTTTACTGGTCAACTTAAAATGTAAACAAATAAATTAGGAAAAAAGACTACCCGTGAAAAACCTACAGCTAACATCATACTTAATGATAAGAAACTTGAAACTATCCTACTAAGATCAGCATCAAGACAGACTAGATCCTTTTCATCACTGACTTTTAACATCATCCTGCAAGTCCTGACAAAATCAATAAGACAAGAAAAGGGGAAAAGGGTATACTGATTGAAAAGAAAGAAATAACTATCTCTGTTTGCTGATGATATGATTAGCTATGTAGAAAATCTGAAAGAACCACAATCACAAAATGACAACAACAAAAAACAACCCTGAAATTAAAAGTGATTATAGTGGGGTTTCAGGACACAATGTTAATAGATCGTGATCCATTCTGAGTCAGTTGTTTACTTGTATGCCAGCAATGAACAAGTGGAATTTGAAATTGAAAATCATAATAGCATCTGTATTAGCATCCCCAAATTGAAGTAGTAGTTTTAAATCTCTCAGAGTACATAGAAGTTCTACATAAAGAAAATTCTAAAACTCTGATGAAAAAAAAAATAAATGGAGAGATAATCAATGTTCATGGATGGAGAGACTTAAAGATATGCTTTCTTCCCAACTTGATCTATAGATTCAATGCAATCCCAATTAAAATCTCAGGAATTTATTGTGTGGATATTTTCAAAGTGATACTGAAGTTTGTAAGGTAGAAGAAAAAGATTCCGAATATCCAACATAATAATAAAGGGGAACAAAGTTGGAGGATTGACACCACCTTATGTCAAGACTTTCTACAAAGCTGCAGTAATCAAGACAGTATGGTACTAGTGATAGAATAGACAAATAGACAAATGGATAAACAAATAGACAAATGGAATAGAATATAAAGCCCCAAAATGCACCCATGAAAATTTAATAAGGACAGTACAATGGAGCAGAGATAACCTTTGCAATGAATGGTGCTAGGGAAACTAGACATTTGTATGCAAATATACAGATTCAGATACAGATACATATGTAGACATAGACATAGACAAAGGCAGACATTGACAGTTATGGTCTAAATGTGTCCCGTAGATTCATGTGTTGGAAACTTAATCCTCAGTGCAACCATCTGGGGATGTGAAGCCTAATGGGAAATATTAGGTCATAAGGTTTTTTATCTTTATGAAGATAAAAGACCTAAGGTTGCTGTCTGGGTTGTTTTGGTCTTCCACCATGTGATGCCTTCTACCATGTGATAATGCAGCAAGAACATATTCACCAGGTAACAACACCTTCATCTTGAACTTCTTGGCTGTGAAAAATAAATTTATTTTCTTTAATAATTACTCATTCTCAAGCATTCTCTTATTGTAGCACAAAATGTACTAAGATACAGACTTTCTACCCTTTACAAAGGTTAACTTAGAAAGGATCATAGTCCTAAATGTAAACATAGAACAATAAAATTCCTGCAAGATAACGTAGCAGCAAATCTAGATGAACTTGGATTTAGTAATGACTTTAAATACAACACCAAACGCACAATTCATGGGAGAACTGATAATGTTGGACTTCATTAAAAGTAAAAACTCATGGTCTGTCAGATACTGTTAAGAGAATAAAAAGACAAGCCAGAGGCTGGGAGAAAATATTTGCAAAAGATATATTTAATGAAGGACTATTATCCAAAATATACAAATATTTAAAGCTCAACAATAAGAATATAAATAACTTGATTAAAACATGAGCCAAAGATTTTATCAGACATCTTGGAAAAGATCAACAACAAATAAGCATTTAAAAGATGCTCCCTGTCATATATCTTCAAGAAATGCAAATTGAAACAACAATGAGATACCACTACATACCTGTTAGACTGAGGCAAATCCAAAACACTGAAAACACCAAATGCTGGTGAAGTGGCAGAACCACAGGAACTTTTACTCATTGCTGGTGGGACACAAAATGGTGCAGCCATTTTGGAAGACAGTTTGACAGTTTCTTACAAAACTGAACCTACACTTGCCAAATGATCCAGGAGTTAACACTCCTTGGAATTTATCTAAAAAGTTGAAAACTGAATTCCACACCAAACCCTGAACACAGATATTTATAGCAATTTTATTCAAATTGCCAAATCTTGGACACAACCAAGTTTTCCCTCAGTAGGTGATTAGCTAAATAAATGTGGTATCTCAGGAAAATGAACAGGATTTGAAGCTTAAAAAAGAGCTTTCACCCTCTAAAAAGAAATGGAGGAAACATATATGCATATTAGTAGTGAAAGGAACTAATCTAAGCATACAATGTATTATATGATTCAAACTTTATAACATTTTGGAAAAGGCAAACCTACAGAGACAATAAAGAAATGAGTGTTTTCCAGGGGTTGGGAGCAGAGAAGGATGATAGGTGGAATACAGATGGGTTTTAGGGCAATGAAACAAATCTATATGATACTAAACTGGTAGATATGAGTCATCATACCTTTCTTTAAACCAAAAAAATTTAGGAAATTAGGAATGAATCACACACAAGATAAACTGTGATGATTCTGATGATGTGATGATGTGTCAGTGCAAGTTCCTCAATTGGGTGATATTGATAATGGTTATATATGTGTGAAGGCAGAAAATATGTGAGAAATCTTTGTAACTTCTGCAATTTTCCATGAACCTAAATCTGCTTTAAAAAATAAATATATAATTCATTTTTATATTTAATTTTAAAAAAATATAGTTTTTAAAAATGGAAACAATATTTCTATAATTTTATGAGTTCAATTATAAGACGTTTACTGGTGAGATGACTTGAAACTTGAGTATTTTTTATTAGACATCCATGAAGTATAAATAAATCCTTTCCTGGGCATTTTCTTTTTATCTTTAGGTCAGATGTTGCCATTTTATATAATGATCGGTCTGTCCTGGAGAATCACCATGTGAGTGCTGCTTATCGACTTATGCAAGAGGAGGAAATGAATATCTTGATAAACTTATCTAAAGATGACTGGAGGTGAGTTTCAAATGAAACCTAAAGGGAATTTAATTTCAGAAAAAGGATAAATTATGTGGTTTAAAGTGAAAAAAAAACTCTAAAAATCAATGCCTTCCTCATATTACAAACTCAGTTACTGTTGACTGGATGATTCTGAGAAGGATTTGTACCTGGAGGACTTTGTTCAGGAGTCAGGCTCTGTTTGATGGATCTGAAATATTTCCAGATCAATTATTTATTCATACACACATGTAAGACTACACATCACACAATAAATACTTTAAGATGCATAATTGTGCACTTCAATGGAGCTCTGCTCAATTTGTGCTAATAGCTTGTCTTACATAAATTAAATATGTTGGCATCATATTCATTCTTTCTATATACATGATATAGTGACACTAGATTCCACACAGAGAAAAATAATAAATCCAACCCTACTACTCCACATAAACTTTCTATCTTTTTATCCTTTGGTTGTTACCTTCCCTTTGCTTGATTTTGGATTGTCAGAGTTAGCCAATGAATTTTTAAAAGTTAAACAGAAATTTCAGATCAACATAAAATCTTTTTAATGTATGTTCCTCATTTTATATTATGTTTATATATTTTTAAAAGCCCATGTTTATCCCATAATAAAGATCTTATTAAAAGATAATAGATGGATGGCAGAAGGCTCCCACTCAAATGTAAGTATCAAAGGATTTTGGTTTTTATTTTTGCTCTTACAACAAATTAAAGAAAAATGTAAAGAAAAAAAAGGTGTCATGCCTGCCATTAAGAATGGACTTTAAGCAAAAGCAAATCGGAAAAATTAAATTTAGGGTTTCAAATGAGCCCTAGTCTCCTAAAGCTACATTTTCAAATTTCCAAAGCTTTCTGTATTTTCTAGGTCAATTCCAGAAACATGGGCTTCATTTGCAGTTGTAGAAAATTCCATAAGGTGGGAAAAGAGGAACAATGTTTGGGCATCCCATTCGGGCTTTTCATTCTATTCTGTAAGAAACTAGCCTAAGAGGACTCCAGCCTAGGAAGGCCAGGATTTAACTGTACAAGAATTTTAAAGTGACTACAGCTGGGTTATGTGGAGAACAGCTGGGCAAAGAGAAGCAGGCAAACCAGTTTCCTAAGATCCGAGAGAGAGAGATTAATTGCAGGTAGTGTGTTAGTTTTCCTCAGTGGTTTTCATTCTCAAAGGTAATATTGATAATAATTTTTATTCTTATTACCCCTTTGAGTTAATCTCCTTTCCCTCAAAGTTGACTCTTTTGTTCATTCAGTGTGATTTTATTTTCTATATTTTGTTCTTTATCATCTTCAATAATTTATTCTGATAGTTTATTGTGATAATATCTGGTAAATTTCTTGTCAACAACTTCTCAGACTCATGCTAATTAAATTTTTACAAAATTATTGTTAACAAATAGTATGTATATCATATGGACTATAGAATTTAATTGATTAAATACTTCCCATTTTCTTCCATAACCTTGATAACATTTCCCTGAGAATTAAAATATGGATATCTTCTTAAAGACCTATAGATTTTTGCTCTAAATGTCTATTTATTTCTTAAGGTAATTTTAGTATGGTACAATCACATTAATTTAAATTTTGGGCAAAAATTCTTAAATTAAGAAATATTTCCCTGATGTATTCTTTTGCCTGGTTTATGGACATAATACTAGGCATTTACTGATCACTTATCTGCAAAGCACAATACATTATTAGGTTCTATACATTTCACTAAATTTTAGTCTTATTTTTCTTAGTGAATATAAATATTTTGTTCAGTTGCTATTCTAATATGATCTTGTCACAAAATCGGAGAAAAAAATGGAACTGAGAATAGTTTTAGAATCTACTTTCAATAGCTTATTTTCCCTTCGTATTTCAGTATTCTAAGCAAGCTGTTCAATATTATAAATAATAGCAGAATATTTATTTCTACCTCTGAAAATCTGATTGAAGGGAGTACCCACAATTTAAAACAAATCCAATATATGGTTGCTTTTGAAAATACATCATCCATCAATAACATCTTTAGTTAAAATATCTCTGATGCAAGATCATAATTCAGATTTACTCCACACCTTGATTTAGCCTACTCTGCTGGCCACACCAAAGAGTGCAAACAAAATATGGTTTTCTGTATAAGTGACTTTTTACCTAACTCTACAGAGCAAACAAAGAATGGTGGATTACGCAAGACTTTGCGGGAGTGGCTCATTCCCCACTTACTGTGAGAATGAGTTTTTCATGAACAGGCTTTGTGATATGGTCACTGTATTGGTCACCATCTTGGCTGAACATTTCAATAGTGCCGACTGCTCTACATTATGGAAAATCAGGTCCCAAAATCTTAAACAGAATTTTGACTTACTTTCACATCTTGACCTCTTTGAAGTTCTTCTGATGGTAAGTTGGCATAGTAGTCAGGCAGTGGTCCAGGTGCCAGCTTTGGAGTGAGAACCAGGTTGCATCCTTTATCAGCCATCTACTAAACAAATGGCTCAGGCTCTTCCAATGGAAAATATTAATACTCCCTCAAATGTATGAGGATTAAATGTCTTAATGTACCTACAAAGCAATTGCAACATGGACTGAATAAATATGGATAAATAATATTGCTTTCATTAATAGTAGTAATTTTAAAAAGATGCAAAACAAGGAAGCAACAGTGTTTTGAGAATCCATGCCCCTCTCTCCCCATCTCTTCCCTAACATATTGAACTATCAGTTTGGATTTAGAATGGTCTCAAGCCCCACTGAGCTACATGTTTTACTTCTAAAGCATTCAAAAATTATATTTAAATTAGTGTCTCATTAAAATAGCCAAAGATTCTTTTGGATAGAAAAATAAGATTTTAGAAATTATAAGTTGTGAAGAAGCCTGTGAGGTAAGAAGAAGAGGCATATCACACTATTATTCATACATCATTCTGCCACTAACTTCTTAAATCCCTGAGAATCAATGGGCAAAAATAATGTTGAACCTTTGTGAGCACTTTTATATTTAAAGAGCAGCAACTTTTGTACTCATATCCACTAGGCAAATATATGAATAGTAATACTTATGGAAAGGTTCTATACAAGACCAATAAATGGCCAATTGAAACTATTATTCTTTTGATGCCTCTGCAGGGATCTTCGGAACTTAGTGATCGAAATGGTTTTATCCACCGACATGTCAGGTCACTTCCAGCAAATTAAAAATATAAGAAGCAGTTTGCAGCAGCCCGAAGGGTAGGTTATTTTCTTTTGTCACATTAAAGTACCATGAACATGGACTCAGAAAAGATTAATTGGTTGCTTTGTTCTGATAATTTGAGCATGTCCTTTCTTTGACAGAATTGACAGAGCCAAAACCATGTCCCTGATTCTCCATGCAGCAGACATCAGTCACCCAGCCAAATCCTGGAAGCTGCATTACAAGTGGACCATGGCCCTAATGGAGGAATTTTTCCTGCAGGTGCCTCTTTCATACTCTTTGCAAATAATTTTGGAAATAGTGACTGTGCATTTTTTTCATACACCTTCTCTACAGAATCCAGAGCTTGTGACTAAGTATCATCAATTGCCATAACACATTCTTGTGGATATTCAAAGAATTTATTAATCTTTTAGATAAGTATGCTAAATAATCCTGTGTAGTATAATACATCTTTTAAAGAGAGTCAAGTCTTAGATCTCAGGTGCCAGGCTTGGGAAGGAAAGAAACAAACAGATTATAATTGGAATCTGCTGTTAAGAGAGAAGTGCCAGGACAGAGAGCAAACAGCTTTCTTAATGGAAGGGCAAAGGGAGGATATATACCACTTCTTTATACATCTTGTTGGCTAGAATTTAGTCATATGTGCCTAGCTGCAGCAGAGGCAGAGAAATACAGTTTTTAGCTGTGTGAACACATGCCTAACTAAAACAACAAAAAATATTATTATGTGAGAAGGCTGGAGATAGAGGATGGCTGGTATTCTCTGCTACAAGTATTTACATTTTACATTTACATGTCTCTTTTCTGTCCATCATTCCTGTATGCCCCCTTTAGCACATAAAATACAATGTGATGCTAACCACTCAAAGTCAACCTCAAATCCTATAAGTTAAAGGCTCAGTCTTCTACAAGACTGGTCTACTTCAGATGCTAGCCACAAGTGGGGCTGTAGGACACCAGCTCTTCTGACCAGCCAGTTCTAAGTTCAGTGTCTCTTGCAACCCATTTTATATTTGATAATTAGTTAGAATAGCTCATGGACTGAAGAAAAGAGCTAATCTTAAAATTACAAGATACAACTCAATAATAGTCAAATAAAGTAGTGTTTAGGGAAAGGTCTGGGAGTGTCCCAGTCATGGAGCATACATGTAGTAGACAGATGGATTAAATTGTGCCATCCTCTTGTCTTATCAGTGTGTTCACTTATCAGGAAGCTCCAGTGAGTTTCAGTAACCAGAATATTTATCAGGGTTTCATTATATAGCATGATTGATTAAATCATTGTCCATGTGCCCCTTCCCCCACCAGAAGGTCAGACTGACCCAAAGTTTCAACTCCTTAATCATTTGGTTGCTCTCTTTGGTGATCAACCCCCATCCTGAAGCTAACGACAGGGTCCATCATGAGTTGTCTTCATGAACACAACAAAGAGTCACCTGTCATTCAGTAAACTCCATAGGTTTTTGAAGCTTTGTTCCAGAAACCAGAAATGAAGACCAGTTGTTATATTCTTTATGATACCATAGCTCTGTTTAGAAAAGCTCTTTTATTTCTGTATTTTCAAATTATTTTATTCTCAGCATAGTTCTTTACTTAGAATGTTTATTCATCGATTGAATATTTATTCTGAAGATATAAACACCGAATATATTGCTATACTTGAATGAATGTTTTCTGTCTCCCATTGTTGATAGCTATGTTTTATTTGAAATAGCACTGAATAGTCCTAGATAAAATTACTGAGTGACTACACCAAATTCAAATATTTTTATATTAAAAACAACTTGTGAAAAATATTTTAATATTTTATGCACATAAAAAGTAGAATAAATGTTAAAATACACCACATCCTAAAAGGCAATTGCCTGCTATGGTCAATTAAAAATTATAATTTTTGTACACTCAACCAATCAGTAATCAGAAAATGGTAAATCTAAAGAGACCTTAGAGAGCTTAAAACTATCTCTCTTATATTAGAGATGAAAACATGAAGAGATAAAATGATTTTTGTCAGGTTGATAAGAAAATTTTAAATATTTAAAATTGAATGGTCATGAAAACAAAAAGGGAAAAGTTGTTGAATGAAACTAAAACAGTGAATAGAGGAAATTTTAAACCATTAAATGCTTTCCGTATTAGAAAAAAAAGATACTTTGTGAAGCTAGAAAAACTTAAGAAAATTAGACCAAAATAAATTGATGGAAGGAGATAATAAATATAAAAGCAAAAATCAATAAAATAGACCAAAGAAAAATAATAATAACAAGAATTATAAGGGTAAGTGCTGATTTTTCTGAAGAAGTAATAAAATTAGTTGTAGTTTCAAAAAGAGAAAAAAATTATAAAGGAAGAGAGAATATTACTATATATCTTACATATGTCAAAAAGATAAGAAATATTATGCACAATCTATGCCAATAAAATTGACAACATAGATAAAATTGTCAAATTCTTTGAAAGATATAAATTACTAAAACAGACATAAGAAAAATTATAATCTGAATATTCATTTATCTATTTTTAAAAATTGAATTTATAATGTAACTCTTCCCATGAATAAAACCCCAGGCTCAGATGACTTTAATTCTTAATTCTGATTTCCATTAGTAGTACTCAATTCAGGTAAAAGATGGTAAATTATCAAACATTTCAGGGAGAAATAAGGCCTGTCTTACACAATTTTTTTCATGACAGAGAAAAAAGGGAAAATTGGCAGCATAACCCCTAAGAAAACCTGAAAAAGACTTCAAATAAAGAAAATTACACCCCCAATCATGTCATGAAACTAGATAGAAAAGTCCTTAAAATATTAACAAATACAATTCATCAACGTAGTAAGTGAGCACATATCATGACTTGAGTAAGTTGAATATTCAAAAATCAGTTAAAATGATTCACCATCTTAAAAAAAAGGAAAAACAATCATATCATTCTTAAAGGCACAGGATGCCTTTGACAAAATTCAACAAACATTAATTATAAAAACTCTCAGCAAATAAGAAATAGGAAACCTTAATGTAACACTTCCTGGTGAGATATTGAACATTTTTATACTAAGATCAAGATATCTACTCCAAACACTTCTATTCAATATTGCATTTGAAGTTCTAGCTAGTGCGATAAGGTGCTAAAATAAAATAAATAGATTGGATTAAAAATAAGCAAAATTTGCAGAAACATGGGCATCTGCATGAAACACTTTAAGAAATTTACAAAAGCCCCTGGAATTAACAAATGAGTTTATCAGAATTGTAGGATCAGTTGTAGTAAATGAGAGTAGCAAGTTGAAAATGAAATTTAAAAAGCGATATTATGAGAGAATAAGATAATAAAATACTTGAGAATACATTTAATTAAATGCATGTAAAACCCCTATGAAGAAAGCCACAAAATATTGTTGAGAGAAAAACTTTAAAGACCTATATAAATGGAGAGTGTTTCCACATTAATGGATTGAAAGTCTCAATATTGCTAAGATGTCAGTTCTTCCAGAATTGATTAATATATTTAGTATAATCCTTATTAAAAAAATGAAACAGGCTTCTTGGTAGAAACTGAAAAATTAACCCTAAAATCTAGATGGAAATAACCAAAACAATTTTGAAAGAGACTAAGAAAGTTGGAGAACTCATGCTTCCTTATTACATAACTTAGTAAACAGCTACAGTGATCAAAACAGTGTATTATTGGCATAAGGATAGGGAAATACGTCAATCAAATAGAAGAGTGATTCCAGAAGTAGAACCATACATTATGTGATTTTCTACAAAGGCAGCAAAACAACTAGTGAGGAAAGGAAGTCTTTTCACAAATGGAAATGGAAAAACAGTTATAAAAGTGTGGGATAGAAGGAAACTTGTCTTCTACCTACACCTTACACAAATAATAAATCAAGATGGACCATGTATTAACACAGAACAGAACCCAGAACTATAAACTCTTGGAGAAAAATGCAGGAAAATATCTCTCTAATCTAGGGGGAAGGGCAATACTTTTTAGAAAAGCCACACAAAGTATTATCCAAAGAGAAAAATGGCCAAGCAGACCAAAGAAGAATTTAATATTTCTGCTCTTCCAAAAATACCATTATGAAAAGATAGACCATAGAGAAAATATTTGAACTGTAAGCGTCTTTCCAGGAACTTGTGTTGAGTCTACATAAAAACTCTAACAAATCAATAATAAAAAGGAAAATCATGGCAATTTGAACCGACACTTCATACAAGAAAATATACTTGTGGATAAAATGTACAGACAAGTATGCTTATTGTCTTTACTTATTGGGGAATTGCAAATGAAAACCACAATGAGATATTACATCTACACCAGAACAACTGGAGTTTTATTTTATATTATCAATAACGTGGTAAAAATGGAAGTGTCACATATCACTGGTGGGAGTATAAATCATTGCAGTCACCATGGAAAACTATTGATTTGTAACATCTACTAAAGTTAGACTTAACATTGCTTATGTCCCAGCATTTCCACCCCTTTTGTGTATAATCCAGATGAATTAGCAGCCTTGTTCACTTTTATTACAGAGGAGTAATAAAAGCAGTGTTATTTATAAAAGCCCAATGCTAGAAACAATCCAAATGTCCATCAGAAATACAAATGAATTAAATAAATTATAGTATAGCCATACAATGGATTATCATGCAACAATAAAAAAAGACTAATGATAACAAACAGTAATAAACCTTAATATCATTTATGTGAAATTCAAAAATTGCAGTTAACCTATGGTTATAGAAATCAGAATAGTGGGTATCTACATAGGGTAGGATTCCCTGGGAGAGGTTAAGGGAACTTTTGAGGGTAATAGAAATGCTCTGTATCTTGATTGAGTGTCACACAGGGTGTTTATACAATTATACAATTCAGATTTTCACATAAAGTTTTTCTCAATTTAAAAAAGTCTCTCATAATAAAAGTTCCTCATCAATTACTTAATTTTTTAAAGTCCTAAAAAAAATTCCAATAATACCATGACTGCATCATCCTTTGTTTTACTGATTGCCAAACAAACAATACCTGACAGAGTAATCAGAGTAATGAATTCAATGAAATTGAGTTGAGATGTTTTTTAAGTTCACCACCCTGTTCTTGAATGTTACAGGTAACTAATAGCAATAATGAAGATTTCAGACAGCAGTGATTATTGACATCTGAATTTAGGGGTAGAGAGAATTGCTCCATAGGGCTACTCAGCTCCTATGTCATTCTCTGTGCATAGTACCCTGTGACTCAGATGT